CCCCAAAACCCCAAAACCCCAAAACCCCAAAACCCCTATATTTCAAGTGTTTCTTGAGATTAAAAATAAATTAAACATGTCAAACTTAAAAAGAGTATTCACCTTTTGCATTAAGCCTAAACCAAATACAAAATGCAGTAATGATAAGATAGGAATTGACTGTTCGCTTGAGACACTTAGTACGGACTACTCCGAGTTTTCTTCAAGCCCAGCCAAGAGCATAATTATGGATCCAGCCGTCTCAGACCTCGCCTCAAGAGTGAGAATCTGATTACTGAACGAAGTTCTTCCTGACAACCAAAAAAGAGAATTACCTTCTCAATCTCTAAGTCTAAAGAAGACTAACAGTGCTTGTCCAAGAGTATCAAAATTCTCTTGGGATTTTTCGAATTCTTCAAGAGAGAACATTAAAGCTATAAGTGTCCCAAGACTTGCCTACTGAAGTACAAACAGAGAAAGAAGCAAAAATGATGAACACCCCAAAAAGGCTTCCTTTGCAAAGAGAATCGAAGCATTTAACTCTCTACAAAAGCTGGCCTATAATATAAGGCAGGATGACGAGGTAATCTTTGGTGAAGAGAAGCCATTTGAATACCTCAAAGAAATCCAAGATTACCAGAATGAATACAAAACTGCTACAAAAACCAAAAAATATGATTCTAGATCAGTTAGAATGAATAAAATTTCCTCATCCAAAACTCTGGCTTTCAGCACCAGAACAAAAGCCAAGCCTCAGAAGCCCAGAAATTTGAACATAGTGGAGGCTCAGGCTGAGGAAGTCAAAGTTTCTCACAAAGTTCTTTCTGGATTGGATTCAATAATCAAAAATTTCAAACTGTCTTCTAAAATTTCAAAACTCTCAAAGAAGAAATCTTCAAACAAGACAAAATACCAACCGAAGAAAAGCAAGTGCATTGGTACCTTAAAAGGACCTCTGGGAGAGCCTTGCTTGACTCACATCCCTGTAGGCCATCTACAAAAGATAGTCGCATCCTTATCCCAACTTTAAACCTAACTTAATCTTAACTATAACTTGAACCAAGCCTTGTTAACTCTTATTATTGACACTTCTTTTTAGTTAATTCAGAAGTGCGATCGTACTGAGAATGTAACCTATGATTAAAAGCGGCATCCTTGCTATTGACTTTGTGTAATTAAGAGGTTTTAGAGAGATTCGAGGTTCAATAAATCGTTGTCCAATAGGAGGCGAGTGTATCCACACATTTAACAGTTGGTTAGCAGAGTTAAAGAAGATTCGTCACTCAAATCTTATTCGTATCAGATTTTTAGAAACAGTCTAGAAATTTCGAATTAGCAACTGTTCAAATCTGACCTCCTAAAGCAGAGGTTGGAACTCTCTGACAGCATACGAATAGTCTTTAGATTAAGATTTAATGCGCTTATACAACTTGGATATGATTATTTAAGGACTAAACACAATCTTTTCTTGCACAAACCATTTCTTGGTCATTTAAGAATTTAAGTGCACTTGAAAATTATTTCGGTTTAAAACCAATGAATCATCTAATAAAAAAATCACTTAAGTACACTAATTGCACCATATGATTATTTGCATCTATCTCCACTCTCAAAACTTATAAAAAGCACAATGTTTCATTAATCCGTCACCAAATCTTAGTAAAAACCTGTTTTATTATAAACCCTTCAGATTATCACAACAATAAAAGGATGAGTCATACTCCTTCTTTTTATTATGTGTGAATGTTCTAAAAATAGTGCAATTTAGAGTTAGTTAATCGATGGAAGCTAACTGTAGAAAAATAGGGAGGTATATACTATGTTAGTTTAATGATGCGGATAGGTCTTTTTAGATAAAATAATATATGATAGAGGACCCCTAACCTGAGTGCAAGCCAACTTTGACAAGTTTTAAGCTATGTAGAAACTCTTCCGAATTTTGGTTCAAAAATAAACTGATAAGGTAGGTTTAAAACTCAATAATTTATTTAAAACCGAAATGGAGATCCTGAATTTTTCTTCCAAAGCACTATTAAACGCCACTTTTAAGGTCTATACTCTAGGGAATTTGGATGCTTATCTGGAGCTATAGAAGCCTAAACCTTTTTCTTGGAAGATAAGAGTAATATGAGAAATATAATTATGAAATATAGGAATCAAATGCATGTTTCAACCAATATCGATGCTATTGGGGTTTTGGGGTTTTGGGGTTTTGGGGTTTTGGGG